GGAAGAACTTCCCACCCCATCTTCGCAATTGCTGCCAATGTGATCTTTGTGGTCTTCAGTCAAAAACCACGGGACCCAACGAGCACAAACTTTCCTATAGCCCAAGCTTTCAATCATCTCCTGTGCCCTATTCCAAGTTTTTGGGCTATTGTGTCCACAGCCACACGCCTGTCATCTTGAATGATCTCATCCACTCTTTCCTTGTTGTGTTCAGTTGAGGCTGTTTGAGGACAACCGCTCTGAGGCTCATCTTCGATGCTGGTGTTCCCATCTTTAAAATGTTTCACCCATCTTTGAACACTGCTCACACCGATGCGCACACTTCCATAAGCTCCCAGAACGCTAGGAGAAATGTGTACAAAGAAGTGGCGATCATGTGGAAAAATAAAGAAAGGTCTATAGATTGAGGTGGTGTATTTGGTTTGTCAATAATAAAGCATGTTTCTTTACAAAAAATTATTGCTCATGACTTTCAGTACAACCTACATAATTATGTCGCTATCCACATCAGAGTACGTGCATACCTGACCTTGCTGTGAAAAAGAAAATATATACGTTTCAGAATCCATCTTATGCCACACGATAGAAGAAAACCACACACACACACTGTGACATTAGATCTACCTTGTAAATTCAAACTTGCTGAATCTTATCCATGCTTCTAACACACTAATCCCTCTTGTGCATACATCTTCAATGACAGTGTAGCTTTAATGCAGCTCAGTCCCAGCAGCTTATCTTTTTGATTTTCATGGTAGTGACAACTATCTTGTAAATATTCATATGTATAAAACTTCTGCAACTGAATTCTGACATCTGAAAAGGATCTTTATATGTGTTATAGGAGGCTTTCAGTCAGATAATTTCAAGGACCAGGAGTTGCTACACATTTATTCCATGAAGGATATGCTCTGAGCCACCTCCTGTAACATTTCCCAGTTGCCTAATATACACATCAAATACGTGTCCTTTGGTGGAAAGATGAAAATCATGGTGCCATTTGTGACTGGAAAGAAGCTCTGAGACATTTTCACACCCACACCATGCAGGAGAACTTGATAATGTTAAAAATGTCTATACTAGGGCTGAAGAGGAGGACAAATTGCAAGTGGTGAAACAATATATTCAGGTATAGTAGTCCTCTTAATTTTTATCAGCGGGGGGAGTCATATTCAGATGTCTTCAGATTGGTGACGCTCACCTAACATATGAACATTTACCATTCAATGCATTTTAATGGAATGCTTATGCTATGGTGAATGTCTTTCAGTTAATCTTCAAGGTAAACTGCATGACATCCTTGGAGACAATCAGTATACTGTGTCTAATTTACTTACATTCCTCAATGTTATGGAGGTTGTCAAACCTATTTAATGACAGAATTTCTAGTATTTATAGATATACTTGTGACTGTCTCATTTTTTGTTGTTATTTAAGGCCTCAAATACAAGCCAATATACAGCTTGCAGTCTGCTGTCTTATTTTAGCATATTGTTCTATTTTATTTAATTTTTTCTGTCAATCTGTTTTGTCAATCCAATTTTAAATCTGAGAAATATTAGAATTTTATTTAATTTTTGCCCTCAGAAGGTAATTAACATTTCAACTTTAATTTCATCTAGGTGCAAATTGCCAGTGATGCTAATGTGCCTTAAAACATTTATGCACACATATATGTATGCTCAAAGTTATTTTCATAAGCTACACAAAATCATATTTGTCATGCAACTTTCTGTGTTACATCTCAGAATGTATAACAAATCGCTTTCATTTCTAAATTACAATACCAAAGCCCTTCTCCTGTGAAATTTCTAGGATTTAGCATTTTCCTTTCCTATGGCCTTTCAATCATGAACCTTTGAACTTCACTGTCATTGTTACACTCTAGTATTCCACAGCATCAGCAATATAAACTCATATGTAATTAGAATCTGGATCCCATAACTAAACCTCTCTGACATTTAATTTACTTTTCAGCAGTTATTTTCTATTACAGACTTACCTGGTATTGAAACAAGCCCTTGAACTAATTGGACATTGCTGTGTGCCATCTGTTGATGTTTTGCTGCCAGCTTCTCCTGTTTGCGCCACTTGGCTCGACGGTTCTGGAACCATACCTTAAGGCAAGATATTACAAGTTACCTAATACTCAGCTGAGAATAATACTGCAGAACTTAAAAATATGGACTCACCAGAGCATTTTTTACAGTAAAGAGCATATGAAATATGAAGTGAAGTACCACAGGCTCTTTTCCCAAAGTTTGAGCAATGGAGTGTAACACTGAAACTTCACTTCCATCTGTCACTGTGGAACTTACCTGTACATGCCTATACACTACCTTTATATGATGTTTAAGCACAACTTTACTTTTAAGCAGATCCTTATGAATTCATTGATGACTACAACAGTGTCCAAGTTTCTGGAAACAATCCAGAAATAAGCTGTATTATCCAGTCTTCAGCACTTTATGCTTCTTTGGGCACCACATACAACACCTTTCTTGAAAAATGATATACAGGGGTTGAACAAAACAATGAAAACACAACAGATACTGTCCACATTTCTTTAATTGACATGATGTTGGACCACCTTTAGCCTTCAATACAGCTGCAATTCTTCTTGGAAGGGACTCGTATAGGTTTTGAACAGTCTCTATTGCAATTTTTTAACATTCTTCTTGTAGAACATCAAGTTGCTTTAGAGATGTTGAAGGTGGGAATCAGTTGCTTAATCTAGTCTCCAAAACTGACAAAAGTGGTTCAATGCTCATACCTGGTGATTGTGCTTGCCAGGAAAGACACTTAAATTCACCTTTATACTCTTCAAAGACTGAACAGTTCTAGTTGTGTGAATGGGGAACTGTCATCTTGGAAAACTACATCGCTGTTCAGAAATAACATCTGAGTCATGGGATGCACCTGATTACCCAGCCACTCCACATATCCCTTACAGTAATTCGGCCATGAAGGGTAATAATGGGACAAACAGAATATTGTACCACGATATTACTGCCCAAACCATCACAGAACCTGCCCCATGTTTCACTGTTGGAACCAGGCATTCCGGATTGTAGACTTCCTAGGGTGTTCTCCAAATGTAAACTCTTCCTGATGTAGGGAACACCGTGAAGGCCGACTCATCTGACTATATCAATTGCGCGTTTCCAGTTGTTTGATATCCAGGTTTTATGGTCGTGACACCGTCGTTTACGCAAATGAGCATTACTTTCAGCAATCAGAAGTTTAGCAATTGCAGCTATAACGTGGATTGGTGAAGCTCGCGTCGGACAGTTTTTGTGGAAATAGAGTCTTTAAGATGAACATTCAGTTCTACTGCAGTACTTCTTCAATTTTTCGGAACAATACTTCACAATACAATACAGTCTTTTTCTGTCAATGTTGATTTTAACTCATTGTTCCTCTTCGCTAATGTCTTCCCTTCATTTGTGTATTCCGACATAACCTTAGAAACTCTCAGTCTCGATACACATAATAATGTGTTTTTGTCATACATGTTCCAGTCAAATGCGCATTGACGATATGTCCTCTTTAAAATTCAGCGAAATCTTCCACTTTCCGTTTCTTTCACACTAATTGTCACTCAACACGATCACTTCCACCACGAAAAGATCAATCTTTTGCAAACAAATAGAATTTTAACTTTCAGTAATGCCAACCGAAGTTCTTTCAATATGGTCAACACAAAAATTCTATTCCTCAGTCTATTGGGGTTATAGCGTTTCCGTCATATTGTCCACATGCTGTTCCTGTCATTACAGGGCTGTGTGTGGAAGTGATTTGTTTCACAGTTTTAATAAAAAGAAGTTCTTTGGAAAATGCGGAAAGTTGGGTTAAGTAAGAAGTTTCGTTTATCCAGATCAAGTATGAAGATAACAGTTGCATTATTCATGTACCCTCTAAGGTAATCCATATTTTATGGTTTCCTATTGTGAGGGATCTCAGATATTGACTAATTATATATTTTACTTGGATTGTATTATATTGAAACCCTTACAATTCTGATGTTCCATTTATATAAAGATGTAACAAGATGAGAAAGTGTTTGATCTTAAAAATACCACTATTAATTACCGATAATTTGATTACTGGTTTTTGTTGCATCATTATTAATGACTATAAAACGGCAAAGTTGTCCCAGTGCTTAATTAATGAACCACTATGCCATGACATATGGGGGAGTGGAAGTGTAGGTCCACGATTCTGGATATTAATGATTGTACATAAATTATTTTCATTTATATTGCCCTTCCTATTAAAACTATATACAGAGTGTCCCAGAGGGATGTGCCAGACTTCGGAAGGGTGTTCCTTATGTTAAAGTATGCCGATATAACCCAAAACACCTATGTCCAAAGTTGAACGGTTATGGAGGTAATGGCCAGAGAAGTGTGAAACTTTGACAGGTGTTACACACTTGTTGATTACCAAATACATATTAAAACTGCCAGGAATATGTCGTTTCTGTAATGTTAATAATGTACCTAACATCAAACTAACTTGTGAGTGACATGAAGCCTTTAAATTTAACTACAAAAAAACTCACATGCCATGTCATTGTTGTCGTCAGGGTTCCAAGCTCTGTACATGACACATGAATTGCAAGCACTGACGTAACATGGCTGACTGCGCGTTCTGGTATGCGAGTGTATGCGGCTAGTGAGGTCTGTCATCACCACACTCAAAGACAAACATAGATAAGACTTGTCAGCTGACAGGTACAGTGCGTGGACCCTCCAGAAGACCACACTTTTCTCGGGCCATTATCTCCGTAACCGTTCAACTTTGGACATAGGTGTTTTGGGTTATATCGGCATACTTTAACATAAGGAACACCCTCCCAAAGTCTGGCACATTCCTACTGGGACACTCTTTATATAAAATGGCATTTGCATGCAAAAAGTATGTGCTGCATTTTCAGAACTGTTGTTGGTGTTCATGGTGGTTGTTTACATTACCTGTCAAAATGGATGGATTTGCGTCCTTTTTTCGGTGTTCCTTTTCAATTCCTCGTCATCCTATTACCATTCCCTTCCTGAAGAGCTCTTCACCTCCATTCTTTCATACCTTTATCCATTCCAAACGTTCATCTGTTTCTGTCATTTCATCCATATTTCTATCCCACCCTAACTGTATATTTGTTCAATTGTCATTCCTCTCCTTTATCTGGGGATGGTAGGAGAAGTCTGGATTGTTCTCCTTATTGTAACATTGGCAAAATAATTTTGGTTCGACCTGTATTCTAGCAACAGCAGAAGATGTTTTGGGGGTTCCCCTGCATCTTAGTAGTGACAGACCCTAGATCTGGTTTTACCTTGTATCCCAGGAACAGCAGAAGGTACTTGGGGATTCCCCCATATCCTACTAATGGCAGAAGATATTTTCGGTTTCCCCCTGTATCCTAGCAATGGCATAAAATACAAGTAATTGGGGTTTTCCTAGATATCTTAATAATGGCAGAAGATATTTTATGTTTCCCCCAGTATCCAAGTGACAGCAAAAAATCTGCGTTTTCTCTTGTATCCTAGCAAAAGTTCCATTGTTTTCATGATATCAGTGCCTTTCTTAGTAGGGAAGTGATGGGGAAATAAGCTGGCTTGGGCCTGAACCCATGCACATGGCAGAAAATTTAACAATTATCTTGAGGTTGTCTCTCTAAGAGGAACATCTCTTGTCTTTACCAATTTTCTCTATGATACGCTGTTTGGAAAAAAAGGGTAGGACAGATGGACTTTGGCAGTTATATTTATAGATATATGATAAGGAGAGGGGATAGTGCAGTCGGTATAGTAATTTAATATACATGCTGGATGACAGAGGAGTTGGAGTTCGAGCATTTGTAGTGTCAAGAATTTTCTGTTCTCGACATTGCCCAGACTAGTTCTGGGGCCTACTCAGCCTCATATCCAAAGGGTACCAGGGGGCTCTTCCCATGGGAGTAAAGCGGCTGGGGCATGAAGCTGACCACTCACCAACTAGTGCCAAGGTCAAGGAAACGTGGCTCTATACATCCACTCCCCCATATGCCTTTATGGCATAAGTGCTTAATTAATTAAGTACAGGGTCAACATTACTTTACTTTTTTATGATATGGTAAAGAGAATAATCTGATTAGTATTGTGACATGTAGACCCACTGCCAAGTAACAGCTGTGTAAAGAGGCAACAATACAACAACCATTGCAAGGGAATGGGCCTGTAGACACGTTGTTTTCCTGGCAATGAGAGAACATGCAAAATGGAAGAGACGATTTCTGTGTGGTCCGTGCCTGGGCTATATAATGACCAGTTGTTCCAGCATGGACTGAGGGAGAGTTATCTCATGAATACGGGGACCTGGCCCTCCAGGTTGGTGGGGGGTCTCGAATCTGAGACAGTAGAATATGATCATGAGTCCCATGGGACTCAGACCTGATAATGACAGCTGGTGAGGCCAGCAGCAATTGTAAACGACAGATCAATTCTCTTCAGAGAGCCCAACATCAACAAACCTGTAACTGACAGTAACAAAAATCTGGTCTTGGGCTCAAGATGGGCCCTTGACACCAAGAATGGCTGACTGACTGTTGGTCATAATGTAACTTTGACTTAGATTGGTTGAGTTAGTTGAGAGTTGCAGTTGTGAGAAGTAGAAAGCTGGTAGCTGAGGCCCAGGACAGTTCGGGTACCCAGAGGAAGGGGAAGTCTGTTGTTATTACCATAACATATCCATTGTTGTGTTATGGGTCCCCTCAAGCTTGATATGACTTAGGATCTCAGCATGTCTAAATCAGGCCATAAAGTTTTTGGATAAATAAAATTATAGGTCTACTCAGAACTCACTTGCACTCTAGCTTCTGTTAATTCTATCCTCATGGCAAGTTCCTCCCTGAAGAACACATCGGGATAGTGAGTCTTGTGAAATGCTCGTTCTAATTCTTCCAGTTGAAAATTACTAAATGTTGTCCTGTTTCAGCATATAAATACATTATCAGTAAATTAAGAAAAAAAACAAGTGCAATCTGTCTGTCTAAATAACTAACAAACTCCACAAAGAAGATGACAACAAGCAACAACAATGTTATTAACAATAATGAATAAATAAATAAATAAGACAAAGAATGTATATAGGACCAACGTAGTCTCACTGATCATCATCATCACTGGTAAAGGCCCTTTTTGAGACACAGCCTTATTAGTTTCACTTCTTTGGATTTCACAGAAATAACAACAATGGAATATGACATATGTAACTAATATATATGCATAATAGAATATACCAGGTTATATACATATTGACATATGTGTTCTTCATATGGAACATTTAATCCTTTCTCTTAAAATTTTGGTTTGCATTATTCTGAAACTAGAGAGGTAATCATGCATGTACACAGTATAGTCTTTGTGTTGCTACCTGTATTAATATCCATTCAAACATTTCTTCAAAATTAAATTATAGTAGTAATGAAGATTAGCAGTTAAAAGTACTAGAACTTATGTGAAGGGAATTGGTTGATAGTATGGAGATTACTGCCTTCCGAAATGTGATGCTATGTTGCCTGGTACATGCTTATCATCATTTTGGATAAATGTGCTCTCCATCTTTTAGTTTCAAGAGTGACTCTTTGATAATGAAGATTGAGGTAGCAGTCTTCATAATCACTACTAGAGGAATCTTAAATCATATGTGGTTGATTTGCTGCCAGTCACTGTAGGGCCTTTAAAAGGTTTTACATAGAAGCAGTTGAGTCTTTGATGAAATTAACTACTTCGAAATTCTCTTGTATGTTTACTGAACTTGAAGAAGGTAGTGTTTACCTGTATCTGCGTTGTTTCCTCTTGATTGGACCTCCAGAGCTGGAGATGGTTCCTCCCAGACCTGACAAACCTAGGGGAGACCCAGGTGAAGACAGTAACCCAAGTGACGTTGATGGTGTGTTCCCTAGTATAGCTTCACTGTAATCTTTACAAAAATTGAACCATACAAAATATAATATGCAGGTTTTTGCACAAAATTTATGCAAAGAAGGGGCTGGCATTAACAGTTAACCAAGGCTATTTAGTATGAAATTAGTATATTGTAGATACATGGGGAAAATAGATTGTACAGGATAAATAAAAGAACTTACGTATGAAGAGTAATACACCTGGTACATGAAAAATAAAGTGGACTATATGAAAATTAAAGTGCATCGTTGATTTGCATCCTAGGCCACACTACCTGCAATTTGTTTGGAACCATCTAGTCAGTTAACCTCATTTGTTAGTACCCCCGAGAATGAATTACCCTGACTACAGTAAGAACCAACAGACATTTAAATACTGTACTCTCACGTGTATGAGTCATTGTAGATGGGGTTTGGTTTGGTAATTGGATTTACTGACCGCTTACAAATTGTAACTACAAGTATTATTTTTTTATTGCTAGTGGGGTGGGACTAAGTCCCTTGTACTGTGGCCACTTCTGTACTATTATACCAGCCCCAGATGGTAGGTGAGGGTGATTGTGGAGCATTTGGTGGAATGAAGATTGGCAGGGGGAACGGAAGTACTTGGAGAAAACCTGCCCCAGCGCCACTTTGTCCATCACAATTCCCACTGGACCAGACCTGGTATCAAACCCGGGCTGACGCAGTGGAAAGCCAGTGACTAACCGCTAANGGTGGAATGAAGATTGGCAGGGGAACAGAAGTACTTGGAGAAAACCTGCCCCATCACCACTTTGTCCATCACAAATCCCACTTGACCAGACCTGGTATCAAACCCGGGCTGACGCGGTGGAAAGCCAGCGACTAACCGCTAGACCTATGGCGCGGCCTTAACCACAAGTAACTAACACAAGTGCTAATTCACACACACACTACAATTCACTGCAGCACACACTAAATTTTCTCAGTCTGCTGTCTTCATCATTAGTTGTGTGGTAACAGTTTCTGATGGCAGATGTTTCCCTTACCCTGGGTTCCCGAACTATCCCCGTGCCTCAGCAACAGCTCACAATGACTGAATTGCAGCAGTCCTCTAACTGACTGTTCACCAATCAGCTGTTTACTTCCCTGCACTGCACTGCATTAACTCCAGCTGTGTCTTGCACCTCTTACAACATCTTGGCACAGACCGCACAGAAAACACCATTCCTCATGGTTGTAGTCCAGTTGTTGCCATGGGAACGTTTGTTTGCAAAGCCGTTGTTTAGCAACGGGTCTACATGCTACAGTATTTTACTTGTTATCATGGCACTATACTGTACTATAATCGGAAACCCTCATAATGGAAATCTGGCTATTGTTCACTTAAATAATAGTCTGGCGGAACAATGAATTTACTACCCTGTGTAACTGGGCAGGCATACTTATCTTCTCTGAGTGGGGTGGCTAATTTTGGTTCCCCCATACACCTCTCTTTTTCTTGGGCAGTATTGTGTGTCCATCCACTTAAAACTGAAACTCTTGTCTTGGGCAAACATCTAAATATTTGCACAGTCCATCACGTGCTGCTTGCATTGTTATGGGATTCTCTTCCTTAACCAGAGAGGGTGGGGAATTTTGGATAGTTACACACAGCATATCCATTTCTGTCTGCTCTAGGTCGTTGCAGAATTTTTACATTCTGTGTCATATCCAAGAATCATGCTGTACCCGACATAGAGTACCCTCTGCTTGCTTACACTTTGCCTAATTTGTTACAGCATCCTACTTCTTTATTCATCCACTCCTTAACCACATGGACATTCCTTATTGGTTTGCTAGTAGCTTCTCTGCTTCATTCAGTCATCACTCATTGATCACATGGACATTCCCTGTTGGGTAGGTACTCGCTTCTCTGCTCATCCAGTTGTGCCACATGGACATTCCTTATTGGTTAGCATCCTGCTGTCTTCATCCGTTCACGGTTCATGAACCCCAAAGATGGTCCCTATTGCCTAGCATCTCGCTTCTTTGTTCACTCAGTCACGGCTCATATACCACATGGATGTTCCCTATCAAACAGCGTCCCACTACCTTTAGCCAGTCACGGCTCACTAAACACGTGGACACCCTATTAGGCAGGATGCGGCTCTTTGTTCACAGAATCACCACTCATGAACCATGTGGATGTTCCCTATTGGTTCCCACTGTCTTCATCCAGTCACGACTTATGAACCTCATGGACGTTCCTTCTTGGTTAGCATCCCAATCTTTGATCATCCAGTGACACTTAACTACTCGGATGTTCCATATTATTTAGCATTTTAAGAAGTTTTGTTAGAACTGATGTAAGGGGATGTCGTTAATACTTCACCAAGTAGATCTGATATAATACTAATTAATCTGTTGTGGAAACATGGAAAATAAAATATGTTGTACAAGAGAAGTAAAGTTGCCTGTGCATGTAAATTAAAGTAAATAGTAGATTCATGTCCCATGCCATACTACCTGCAATTAGATTGGAACTCCATATTTGGGTACCCTCATTAGTTAGTATCCCCAAGAAGGAATTACCCTGACTACACTGCTCAATCACAATTTCTCTAATCCATTACAGAATCCCACTCCTTTCTTCACTATTCATGTATTCATCACATGGATATTCCTAATTGGTTATTATACCATTCCTCTGCTTATGCACTCACATTCTCTATAGGTTAGCATCCCACTGACTTTATCCAATCACGGCCCTCAAACCACATGGATACCCCTACTGGTTATCATGTCACTTCTCTGATTATCTGAACACATCTCATTAACCGTTTGGATGTTCCCCCTTGTTCAGCATTATTACAAAGTTCCTGTAGACCTCAGGTAAGGGGATGGCATTAATATTTCTTTGATAGTGCGTTAAATACAGTGACGTTCCCTATTGATTTGCCTCCCTCTGCCTTCAGCCAGTCACAGTTTACTAATCACTTGGATGCTCCATATTGGCCAGCATTTCACTCCTTTATTCACCCAATCATGACTCATGAACCACATGGACCTTCCCTATTGGCTACCATCCCGCTTGTCTGATCATCCAGTCACAGCTCATTAACCATACTGATGTTCCACATTGGTTAGTGTTTTTATGAAGTTTCATTTCACCTTAATCTAGTTTTGCAAAGGTTACTAAGCCAAAGTCACACAAAATTATAAAAATGTGAATATTACCGCAACATTGGACAATGTGATGCCCAACACAGGAAATATAAGAGGCTTAAACTTGGTGTTGGTCAAGCATGTGACTGTTCAAATGACTATACTGCTGTTTTAGTAGGAGCTACTAAAGATAGAGCATGATCTTCTGTACTGAGCCTGGACTGATAGAGGTCTTGTATATATTGTATATATATACATTTAATAACATGTAATCCAATAATCCAATGGGTACCAGGAGTGCTTTACCTGGGGTGTAAAACAGTAGTGGTGTGAAGCTGACCACTCACATCCATCTAGTGTAGGGGTTAGGATGGCAAAACCATACTTTCACTCCCTCATATGTCTTCACGGCCAGGGCCAACTTGACCTTTTCACAATTGGAAACAGGGAAGGATAGATTGTTTGTTTAACAGTTTTATTCACTGTTAAAGTTACATAAATCAGATATCAGGATGATTATGGATGACAGATTTAAAACGATATATAATGATGCAAACATGAGCTACTGTAAGCAGAGTGCACACACTATTCAGAGTGAGTGAAGAAAATTAATGAAAATCTGTTAGGATTGTCAATCTTATCACACTTTCTTGGAGTGAGTGAAGAAATTTAATGAAAATCTGTTAGGATTGTCAGTCTTTTGGTCAAGATTCGAACTGGGACCTCCAAAATATGAAGCAGTCCTACCAACTACACAACATTAAGGGGACTGTGGTGTAAACATGATATTTGCACCTTGAAGTAATAAAAGTAATTTGTAGAATATAATTTTTGTCCCCAGCAGCCATTGAATTTCCAATTCATTTCCCCATCCCATAACCACATTTGTGGTACAATTGAATTAGATAGCTTGGTTTGGTGGTGAGCTAGAAAAGAGGGAGGAAAGGAGGGAGAGTCTTTTATTTTATTACAGCTTGTTAACCATATTGAAGCTGACAAATTGAATGAACAGTTCATGTTGTGGAAAGGGGTTTTACTTTTCCTGAAAATGTAGATGAAGCTAAGTAGGCTTGAAGAAGTGCTTGATTGACAACACCACATCCCTTCATTCCCCTCCACTGGGAAACAACTTCTAATTAGCTTAGATCATTATTAGGTTGTACTAACTATACTAGTGTCTGAATATACGTAATGGAGTTTGTGCAGGGGTGTAAAGAAGCAAGAAACATGGTGTGGGAAGGGAATTTTAATGTGTTTAGTAAGGCAAGTTTATGATTAAAAAACAAGGAGAGTTTAGGTTTAAAGGTCAGTTTCACTTCAGCAAGCAACAGCATCATGTGCATTTTGTAGGCAGTATATCAAGAGAGGTATATGACTATGTACGGTCTTTAATGAAGGATTTGAATATCATGTTCTATACACTGTGAATGAACATACACAAAATCAAAGTATCATGATAGATAAAGAACAGGATTGTTTATATAAATTTGACAGCACTTAAAATTGTTTCCAGTGACTTTGTGACTTAACACATCTGTTCCTGGGAGAAGTGTATTTCAACTTACGATTGCATGGTCAGACTGACAAAGTGATGGAATAATTACTCATCTGTACACTGCGTTTTCTGTCATGTAAATATCATATTTCGTTACAAAGTCTCGTACATTGTCTCTTTAGATCAATGTTTTGACAGTTCTTCAAAGATATTGTGTTTTACAAGTAGTGACAAAAGGAAGGACCAGTTAAAGTAATGACTTATCCTGAAAATCTTAGATGGATGTGTACATCAGTTTGAGGTAACGTGTTTAATACTGCCATGAAATGTAAAATACTAAGATAGAATGAACCTAGAATGTGCTTCTGTGCATCACTTTTAGAAACATCACATTCTGGTCTTTGTGTAATATGTAATGAAAGTGTATTAAAGGATGACTCAAATTCATCACATTCTTACAAGCAAAGGGTTGAGAAAGGAATTTCAAGATGTTTTCCAGATTATCTGAAGTTGAGTCCAGACACCTCCAAACACTAAGAATTTTTCATCTGAAACACATTTTTGGTCCATATGTCACAGGAAACTTCCTGTATGTGCAATATGGTAAACACTCTGAAATTTCTCTTGTCCATGTGATAGATTAATAGATATTATAGGTGTTAAAATACAGATGCAGAGCCATTGCTCTGCTATTGTTAATGCCTACTTTATCTCCCATCTCCTATAAATTTTAAATTGTTACAAGTTGAATATTTGTAATGTAATTGCATGTCATTCTTTTAAGATTCGAAGCATTCACGGTAATGGAGTGAAGTATTCTTGGGCGATCTGTCATGTCAAGTGGCATGAATTTACAGTATTCTGAAGACTATTTCTGATTCCATCTGATAACTTGAGAAGACTTCATTGCATGAATTTCTTTTGATATGAAATTTGTTGAATTTACACCAGGTCTCATTTGATATTACTGCATGAAGTACATTCACTTTTAATTGTAGGAACGAGATTTTTCAGTTTTACCCACGAACTGCATGAATGCAGATGTATCTTGCCTATTAATGCTTTGGAAATGAATAAGTGAAGGTAACATCTTTTAACTTTACTTCATGGTACCTTATTTGTTTACTGTTTGAGGAATAACATCCCATACAATTGGCATACTTTATATGTATTTTTTGGCTAAGTAGAAAACTCCATTTGTGGTTCTATTTTCACTTCTTTAAAGAATAAAATGCTGCCAAGCAAGCATGTTCTCTTGCACAAGAAAAAACCGGGAATGATACGTGATATATGATATGGTAACAAATGAATCATTGGCTGTTTGTTCTTGTGACTGATGAGCTGTGAGAATTGTGTGTGTCCAACCATGGTGAGATACACTGCTGAACAACATGTACATGTTGTATTTAGGTTGAGAACTTCATGAAAGGAGGGAATACTTATGATAAATTCATAAATCTGAACTTACATTCTGTAACTGGCATTTTAGAAATACTATCAATTGCACAGTTGATCCTCAGTTTGTTTATGGTGGATGATGGCTGGTCTCATCTGAGTGGTTACATAAACTTTCAGAACACATTCAACTGGGGTACTTAAAATTCTCATGTTATTCATCAGGTCAGAAGGTTGGTATAGGTCTGCTTTTAATTCAAGAAGTGTTCCTAGCTCCATATTCTTTTATGGCTCATTTAGTTCGCAGTAGTATATGAAGCTTCTTGTGAATCATTACTTTGAAGCATTAACTGAACAAGAAATGATTTACATGTATTTTCTGTAGAAGGTTATACCAGCATGCCTTTCAGAAAATCAAATACAGACTGTTTTCCATGAATAATTAGATAGGATTCTGGTGTTGAAAATTTAATGTGTGGGCCAGACATGAAGCAAAAGTTAAATAAAATAATAAGGTGAAAAAGATGGAAACAGAACAATGAACCTCTTTGTATAGGGTTTTAAATTCTACAATATGGTCCTGGTAGGCTCTAGGACAATTGGTCAAATCTTCTACTTCAGTGAAACAGTAGTTCTCAGATTGACTGTTATAGTTAAGTAGTGTAACACATGTTACATCACTTGCTATATAAGTTTTCATATTATTAATTTCCTCAGATTTTTCCTGTGTTCCTTTACAGTCCTACGTGTTATCAGACGATATGTTGAGGCGAACATTTAATACCGTCTCTCACAAATAACACTTGAAAATACGTAAAGGTAAAGTTGCCACTGTGCTTAATTCATTGAGCACCGGGACATCTTTTAAAATTTACTAAAAATTATGATTGTGTAGAGAAAGACACATTAAAAATTATTTCACGCCAATATTCTATTGGGAAGAGGGTCCCAAAATTTATGGCTCTATAGTAAGACACTAGTTTCATTTATGAGATATGGGCAAGAACGATACCAGTACAAAATAAAATTGGTCATTGTTTGCTTTTTAACACTGAACCTCAGACGATTAATGAGATTAAATAGATACTGGACTGCAATAGCTTACTGAATTTTGGTGGTGAACCAAAGGGTGTGATGAGTGGTGTTGAGACAGAAGGTGCTGCCGTGGATGGAGGCAAAGAACCCCCAGTGGAGAGGAGGCCTGCTGTTGTTACCAAAGTGTCACCACTCCCTGAACTTGCTGACAGGGAGTTTAGCAGTCCAGTGATGGAATATCCAGCACAGTTACCACTGGAAACAGTGCCTGATGTTCTGATGTTCTGAAGTTCTGTCATGTCTACTAGTGGTTTTACTTCCATATTTCAAGCTAAATTTACTTTAAATTACAGAAAGTCAGGCTTTGTAATACTTTAAGTAGTCTGTATATAACCCTTAGAAAACTATACACATTTTGAAATGCATCTTTTATTCTAAACAGAATTTTAAGCTAACTAAAATTAGCAAGAACATTTTTGAAAAGCATGGTTAGCACAGAGAATGTTATCTGGAAACACATTTTCAGATAGGTAAAAATATGTTACTGCTACATTACACAAGCCAAAATTTTTTGAGGTTTATACTGAGTAAAACTGTTAGAATACAGCAACAATTTAATTGTTGTGAAAACGAGATTCACACTGCCTGGCCTTTTTAACGCAGAAAAACGAAACTTAATATATCACACAGCACTTAGAAGTTTGGTATTCTTCCTGAATTTTCCCTTGGATGCTGTTACTGCTGTCAACTGTAAGTGGGGGAGGGGAACCAGGGGTAGAAACAGTTTGAGAGGCATGGAAGGGGAGTTAATCATTATTGACCACAGTGCGCAGCTGCACTGCTTTGTAAGGTACAAATCGCAGTACTATGAAGCCACACAAAATCTGTCTTCAGTAAAGTTTTTCAGATATTTATATTTCCTCTACATTATAGTCTCATCTAACACATCTAGCACAGTGAAGCTGATTTTGTTTCACATAATAAGTTTGTACCTTTTCTTTTTTATATATTTATTTTGAAAAAATTGGTATTGCTAGACTTTGTTAACAAGTTCCAAAAGGATGGCAAAGAAGGCTTTGTTCCTTAATTTTCTCAGCCACACTTTGATTATCACATACGCAAAAAGATAGAAAAAATAAAAACTACTAGTACAAAACTTTTGTTTGTCACTTCTGATGTCTTGGTTTGCCACTGCAGATGGCTATTTGACATCACAATAATCTGAATTACAGAGAATGTGTTATTTAACCCTCTGTGAAAGAACAAAACACTACATAATATAATAATCCAATGTTTAACACTTTAAAGCACAATGGTTACTATGTGTACCTTATTGAAATGAAATCCTTGCATTTTATGTACACAGCATATATATGGATTTCACATGAGTCTCAGAATAAACAGTTACCCTCTTAAACACCATTAACCAGTTGCTCTTTTAATGGAGACTGAATGTTTTCTGTGAAACATGAACATAAGTTTTAAATATTATTTAGACGAATTTTAGGCTTCAAAGAGTTATGTTCCCCTTGTGCATCATTTCTGACAAATTCCACATTAACCTTCCTACCTCT